TTAGGCTTCAGCGATGTCATGTGCTCTTGAGTTCTTGAGTCAGATGGTCTAAGGCTGGGCAGCCGAACACGCAAAGGTCGTGGGCCCCAAAGGTGGACGCGCGCTCGTGACTCGGAGGCCTTTGCCCTTCCCAAACTGCTCTTAGGGCTTAGGGGGTGTGGGGCTTATAGGGCTTGTGGTTGAGGGTTCAGGGGTTTTGGGGCATCAGGTTTAGGCTTGCTGAATAACCGATGCACTGCGACCGGGTGGGTTCCTCCCCGCCCCCCCCGCCCTACCCCAGAAGCCGCGGCCAGGCATGGCCAGAACGAGTTTTTCGGCTCGACGGAAGGTACCGAAGAGAGCTGACGCCTCAGTTCGCATTGAAAAAGTCGGGCTATCGAAGCCGTAGGAGCTGGGAAGATAAGCCAGGGTTTCGGGTTGAGGGTTTCGGGTTGCCTGTCCACCTGCTGAGACGGGCTAGCTGCGCCTCTAAAACCCGAATTAAGAGGGCACGACAACACAGCTTTCGTTCAGGTCAGGACGGTCCCGGGGCGAACCACGCGTTCACCTTGCAGCTGCCCACTTCAGATGTGGCCGGCCTGCGATGAGGGGAACCGGGGACGGGGGGGGTTGGGATGAAGAGATGTTTCGGGTTTTATCAGCCAGGCGTCCTGAAGTTGTCCATTGGTTGTTGGCCACTTTTGGGGTTCATGGCCCAGGTGTTGGCCAGGATGGCTGCGGAGCCCGCCAAAGCGAAATTCCTCTAGTCAGGATGCCCGGCGGTGAGAGTGCAAAAGATCACAGCCCTCTCGTGCAGAGTCTCCCAGTCTACAGTAGGAGACGAGACAGTGCAGTAGACCCGTCTCTTGCGGATGAGAGTGTAAGCTCTTGCGGCTCACACAGGGTAATTACGCATATTTGTAGAAGAGCACCTCCATACAAGACCACAAGTTGCTTCTGTCGTCATCACTGGAATATAGAATGTTCAAGGAATTCTTTGCATGAGCACATCGACACAAGCAATGTGGGGGCTTTGAACCCTCCGGAGCACTCCGTAACAAGCGATGGTCTTTCTGGCTTGTTTTTTATTCTCACACGTCGAACAGAACGAACGTGCTCCGGTTGGAGCAGCCAGGGTCAGGAATGTCTACTTGTTGAGATGCCACGTCTGTGCCTGTGCTCACTTCGTTCGCCTTTCCTCCCCTAAACCCTGAACCCTGAACACTGAACCCACCCACATTGACCTCCATTGCCAGGTGGTGTTTGGTCAGTTTGTGCTGGGACCACCGGGCGCGGGCAAGCGGCTACAGACATGTTTTCGGGGAAGGGTGACATATTGCTGACAGCGCACGGTTGCATCGGCAAGTGCTGTTACTGGTGCATGATTCTACGCGACTTCAATGAGCATACATTCCATGGTTCCATGAAGGCAACCTCTCACAGGGGTAGGTTTGAAGATGATTTTTCGTTTTTTTACCACCCCTGCTGTACTATCCCTGTATAATCCTTAGAAAGCCGTGAATATCGAAATTAAATGTTTCCCGGGCTCCCAAAGCTGGGCCAGCTCAGCAATCCGAAAAGGGTTGAGCCTCAGCCAGGAGTACCTACTGCACGGGCATGCAGCAGCTGCTTGGAGCGTGCGGGCCCTGATTGGGCACCAGGTCTGCGTTCGTAAGGCTTGTGAATAAGATATTCGTAAACCCTAGACCCGAAACCCTAAACAAACAAGTGATGAGATATCATGAGCGCAGGAGTCCTTAGGCAGGCCGGCTGCTCTGTACCCTGGGGTGTTGGGGGACCCAAAACCCTAAACCCTAAATCCTAAAAGGCCATCATAGTGGCAGTATATTCAGGGGAACCTTGCGGGGTACAGCCTTAGGGGTACGAGTTGAGACGTCTCCTAAGGTTCCTGAGAAGCTTGTTCGTTGAAGGGTTTAGGGTTTAGGGTTTAGGGCTTAGGGTTTAGGGCTTAGGGTTTAGGGTTTAGGGTTTAGGGACCCCAACACCCATATGGCACAAGTCCTGTAGGGCGTCGGCCAACCTTGCCACGGGCTCCACATGTTCAGGCTCCGATGAACAGCACAACATGCGCACTGAATGGCATCGGGTTCATAGGTGTTAATTATGCGGGGGGGGGGGGGTTATAGGTATGCAAGTTTATGGTTTGGTTTATTCTGAGGGCCAAAAGGTTATGAGGTTCAAAGGGGTCCGAAGTTATAAGTCTTAGGGCTTGTGGCTTAGGGATTTTCAGGCCTTCTGTTGCAGGGATGCGTGTTCCGCGAGGCTGAAGCGGCCCCGAACCCTCATCAATCTGGATCCGGCCAATGACGACCTGCCGTGCCCTGCTGCTGGCTGTCCATCTCTCTCTCTCTCTCTCTATCTCTCTCTCTCCCTCTCCCTCTCTTTCTCTCGCTCGCTCGCTCTCTCTCACTCTATCTCTCTCTCTCTCTCTCCCTCCCTCTGTCTCTCCCTCTCTCTCTCTCTCTCCCTCTCTCTCTCTCCCTCCCTCCCTCCCTCCCTCCCTCCCTCGCTCTCTCTCTCTCTCTCTCTCTCTCTCTCTCTCTCTCTCTTGCTTCGAAGCTTACTTGCATTTGGAAGTCTTGTGCTTCCGCCGTCTCACTGCTCACTGTATCTCGCAAGCGTTGCCGGATATGATGACGTGGAGGTTTGAGGTAGCTTACAGGACATCTCAGCTCGCAGAACAGGTATGATTGCGATGTTGACATCCGCGAGCTCGTAAGTGTGGAGGCGCAAAGCTGCTCCTGCGAAGTGATGCGGGCTTTTAGGGTTTAGGGGTTTAGGGGGTTAGGGGTTTAGGGGTTTAGGGGTTTACGGTTTAGGGTTGCTCCACAAACGAAACTCCATCTAAACGCTGAAGGCCGACTTTACAGCCCTTTGCATGGGCCGCAAGACCAATCCTTGTGAAGGGAAGGGCCAGTCTTTCCTGCACTCTCTAGAACCTCCCGAATTCCACTTATGATTGTTCACTACACTTTTTGTTTTGTTTTTGTTTTTTAATCTGCTGCTTTTTCGCGCTATCCGTTATCTCCTGCAATTGTTCTCCGTCTGATTTTCTCGAAGGATGTCATGACTGAGCTTGACCTCGGGCCAAATGGTGCATTACTCTATGCCATGGAGTACATCGAGGCACAGAATGCCGGCGTGAAACCATATGGGCAGGTCTCCGGTCCCTTGCCGGGCGCCCCTAAATAATTGCTTCAGTAGTATATCCAAAAAGGCAGGGTCCTGGCCATGTGCAGCCGCATGAATTCAGACGTGTTTAAGAGTGTTGTCGCGCAGCTAGGGATGGTATTTGGCACGAAGAGTTCACATGCGGCACGCAGGAAATCAACAGGGACCGGCCAGAATCCTAACCCCTAAGCCCGGATTCAACATCTTAAGTTTGGCCAGGTGAACATCGACTGGCTGATCACTCGGATACGGCGCGCCACGCCACGAGTTTAGTCCCTGATTTTGATACCGAAATCGGCCTGTGTTGGGGGTGAGTACAAACAACAGTTGAGAAAGAAACAACAAAGGAAAAGCCCATCTTATACATGTGTGTGTGTGAAATCACAGATGTGTCTGAGAGGCAGGTCACAGCAGACACCGCCATTCCCTACATCTTCATTGACTCGCCGGGTCAGGCCAGGAATGCGCCTTCAGCAGGTGAAGCTTAGATGTGCTGATTGCCTTCACCCTCTCCACCATGGGTTTAGGGTTTAGGGTTTAGGGTTTAGGGTTTAGGGATGCTCCAAAGATTCCTGGGACGCCTGTGCTTTTTTGCGGCTTGAGTACTGCAGCAGCCATCAAGCACTTGCAGCACGCTGGCCATATCGCTCTGCCACTTGTGCTGGTTTGCCGGGTCCTCCATTCATGGCCTCATACGAGTATAGAAGGGGTTTCGATTTTCCTCCCCACAACATAGCTGCTCTGAAGACATAAGCAGGGTGCCTAACACTCTGTGCAGACCAGGGCCTGTCTCAGCCGGGTTGATTAGGAAGTTGGGAGCTCAAGAAATTCGCAGAGTTTAATTCCTGGGGATCAAGACAAGTCGGGGTCCCCAAAGCAACGAAATGTTGCTTTGTCGAAGCGTGCGTGCTGCAAAATGCCGGCTCTCCAAGGAAGACAGTAGCAAGTTATATATCGTGAAAGACACCCTGCGGCTGCCCCCGTTTGCGTGGCCCATGTGTAGGGACCCGGAGCATGGAAGCCAATATCCTCAGCGGCACTCAGTTAAGCTTGCCTCCTTGAAGACACCGCCAAGTGCAGTGTAACGAGGCTGCTCACACAGAAGCACCGACAGAATCACGCTCAAGCCCCTAGCCAACCGGCTCTAAGCCCCACAACGTTGCACTGCTATCGTGTGGCTGTTAAACGCCCCGATTTCCGGAATCTTCGTGTCATGGCCGTGCCATAAGAGCGCATGGTGCTGCTGAAGGCTGCAGCAGCGGAGAGATTCCGATTTCCCATGCCAGCTAACTTCAGATTTGACATGCCAGCTGTCGGGGACACGTTCAGATGATGCAGTGCGTAGCTCGAAGCAGAGGCAATGAGCAAGCAACCCATCATAGCCTCAACCCCCCCCCCAAACATCAAAAGAAGAAGGCCTGTAACGGCGTCTGCCATGGGAACTATATCGTCCTTGGTGTTGTTTCGCAATGACACCTGAAAGGAAGGAACCGTCCTGGCCCCACGCTCATCCCCCCACCGCCCCCCCACACCCAACGCGGCATTCAACTAGAAATTCGGAGCGCAGCAACACTCAACATCCCATAGCTACCCTCCACCTCCCCGGAGGATCGACCTCAGCCCAGCTTACATCATACGGCTTCACATCAGGAAAGCTTTACATGCACGTACGACGAGAAGACACCCAACCTCTCACCCTAAACCCTAGACCCTAAACCTCAAACCCTAAACCCCAAAACCCGAAACCCCAAACCCTAACCCCCAAACCCCAAACCCTAAACCCCCAAACCCTAAACCCCAAACCCTAAACCCTAAACCCTGTCAGACCCATGAGCTCCCGCCACCGGTCACGGCGCTCTCGCACACCCTCGCGGCGCCCCCGGCGCTCGCGGTCCCTGAGCTCCAGCTGCTCCAGCTCCCGGAGTCGCAGCGCCCCGGCTTTCTGGGGTTTAGGGTTTAGGGTTTAGGGTTTAGGGTTTAGGGTTTAGGGTTTAGGGTTTAGGGTTTAGGGTTTAGGGTTTAGGGTTTAGGGTTTAGGGTTTCTGGGGGGGGGGGGCTTAGGGTTGTTTGGGGTCGTTTGGGCCAGTTTAGGGTTGCTTAGGGTTGTTGAGGGTAGTTGGACCATGGGTGTTGGGTTGCCGCGAGGTTTCCGGCATTTCAGGGCTTTTGCCAAGGTTTATCCGACTCGGGGGGGGGGGGGGGGTTGCGGGGTTTGGGGGTGGGGTGGGGGGGGATAAGAACATCATTCATATTGCATCCATGCCCAAAACACTGGTATTTACAGCGTTTTCGCCAGTGTGTACAACATACCGCGCAAGGTTGTGGAACAAGACACGTTGTCACAAGCGTCCATGCCTTTTGCGACCATGCCCAAAACACTGAAATTTACGCCCAAAACGCTGGCATTTACAGCATTTTCGCCACGTTGTACAACATACTGCACAAGGATGTGGAACAAGAAAAGCATTCACAAGCGTCTACGGGCTGCAGACTTGACCTTTAAGGGCTTACACTCCGGGCTAACACACTCAATCTCAGAAACCGAAAGACAACGTAACAGTAAGAATTTAGTAGAAAATAGTAAAAAATGATGTAGTTTCTTTGTACATCCTGAAGACGGATTTTTGAGGAATCATGCCAACACCCAGGTAAAACGTACATTTTCGCACAACAAAACACCACGGCAACCCATCACCCGTGGTCCGGGTAGTTTATGCCAGTTTATGGTTGCTTGGGGTTGTCGAGGGTAGTTTAGGGTTGTTGAGGGTTGCTTAGGGGAGTTTAGGGTAGCTAAATGTTGCTTCGGGTAGTTTAGGCTAGCTTAGGGTTGCTTAGGGTAGTTTAGGGTTCAGTGGCTTATAGGAGCTTGTAGCAGCTTAGGTTTATGCAGTGGGCCTCACAAACTTCTAAGGGCTGTGCTGACAATGCCGAGGTCAGAGTTCCTCCAGCTGGAGACGTGCTCGAGCCAGGTGTGAGTGGGGGAGCGGTCATTCGATCAAGCTTTAAATGATCTCGTAATCAACCCTAAACCCTAAACCCTAAACCCTAAACCCTAAACCCTAAACCCTAAACCCTAAACCCTAAACCCTAAACCCTAAACCCTAAACCCTAAACCCTAAACCGTACACGCTTGCGCGCGCCGCCGCGGCAGTGGGGCCACCCAGGCCACGAGACGGTCATGTCGGGGGTCCTCCAGCAACGTCAGTGAGCTTGTGTCATAGACAGCTTGAATAGAATATAGGGGTATAACGGCCGTAAGTACAGTTAGATTAAAAGTATAAAGGTGTGAGACCATCATAGAGGCAATATACTCAAGTCATCCAATATTAGTATTTTCATAATGTGCATATATGCATGTAATCATACGATCATATCGCCACCATCAAAGACTCAATGACATCATCATCATCATCATCCAATCATACATAGTCGGCTCCTGACTCCTGACACAAACATATACAAATACATTCATATACTCGTGAAACCATATAATCAGATATTCAGAGAACCCCACCCACCCCCCCACCTACCCCCCACCCACCCACCCACCCCAGAACGTCTGAAGGAAGCTCCAGAGACAAAAAGAAGAAGAGGAGCGCTTGCGCAAAGAGCGAGAAGAACACCGCACCTTGGCGCAGCTGCTCTGGGGTTTGGGGTTTGGGGTTTAGTGTGGCTTTGGTTTGCCCGTCACCACAATGTGCGGCTACCATTTGCACACACCCACGAAGGAACTGCTTCCCCTGCCCAAAGCCAGTGGTATCCATGTACTCGATCTTACGTCCACTCCCTTCTTGGGATAAACGGGACCCCTTTTTAAAGGAGAATGGGTACCCAAAAAGGGTGCCCCTGTTACCCCTGTTGCCCCTGTTGCCCCTGTTGCCCCTGTTGCGGCCAGCTCAGGAAAGTTTATGCAAGAATTTGAATCCTGGCGCGTGAAAGATCTAGAGGCACGCAACAAGCGCGAGAAGGCTCGACCGGATCAATGCCACTCAGACCTCTACTCTCCGCAGAGTCTTGCTGTTTAGGGTTTAGGGTTTAGGGTTTAGGGTTTAGGGTTCAGGGTTTAGGGTTTAGGGTTTAGGGTTTAGGGTTTAGGGGAACAGGTACGGAAAGTTGCCATTGCTATACTTAGTTTCCTTAAGCAGTATATTTGCTGTTTAGACAAACCCTAAGGGTTCATGACATTGTGCATGGTTCTAAGGGGAGTGTAGACGATGCCTAGGAGCCTAGCTTGGCGGCTTCATGAGGTTGAGCCATGGTTTCGCAAGAGTTTTTGTTGGGGTTTAGGCTTTGCTGGGGTAGGTTTGGAGGCCCTATAAAAACATACATTTTTACGGCTTTATAAGGATTATATAAGGGTGATAGGGGTCATAACGACTATTCCCTGAATTTCAGGAGTCTGTTCGAGCATACCCATGTTTAGGGTTTCGCAATCTGTTTCGGTGTCTCCCTCCTCTCGTTCTCGTTCTGTTTTCTCCCGATGAGATCTCGAGACCCAGGGAGACGGGATGCTGGTTTAGGGTTTGGGGTTTAGGGTTTAGGGTTTAGGGTTTAGGGCTTAGGGTTTAGGGTTTAGGGTTTAGGGTTTAGGCTGCCCTTTGCTGTGCAGGAGTGGTATTCCATGCGGGAAGCTGCCAAGATTGAAGCAAAGCAGAGGGCTTTGGCCACCTGGTGGCAGCATGGGAGAGTGGCAAAAAAACGGAGATCAATGTGCAGCTTGCGCAGCACGTGTCAATATTCGTGTCCAAGGTATCAGTAGTATATATAATATCGCCACAGAAGCCAAAAACAACGCTTGCACTTTGAGGTTCTTGCGTTGGGAGTAAAGAGACTTGGCGGGGTGCCTGCACGCGGACAGGGCCGCTCTCGCCTAGGCGCCTCGCGGCTTGCTGAGCCCACAAACGGCCACACCAAAAGTGTCTCAAACATCGCAAATAGCATGGTTTCGGGCTCACGGCCGATGCCAGATTGTGATCTCGCCTAGGCCGTGCACTTTTGGCCATGACAACGTGGCAGCGCAGTTTCAAGCATTTGGGGGGGGTTCTCTTGGATGGGTTGGGTGTCGCGCATCCGTGAGTTAAATATTTAAGGGCATATCGCGTTTGGTGGTGTAAGGGCCCAGTCTCCTCGGCCCCGTGCGCCTCGTAAAGTGCAACGGACTAGATTATCTTGGGGTATACCAGGGGTAGCCCCATTCTGGGAAACACGCAAGTGGTCTTGGAGTGTTGTTGGGGCGTCTCGGCTGCTCTTTTCAGGTCAGTTTGGATTGCCTTTGGGTGGCACCCTGACCGGCATACTCTATAGTTTAGTGGACTTTCAATACTAGCAAATAATACGATTACTAGTAGTAACAATCATCACAATACATATATATATATATATATATGTATATGTATATATGTATGTATGTATGTGTGTATGTATGTATGTATGGATGTATGCATGCATGCATGTATGCATGTATGTATGTATGTATGTATGTAATTATATATTTCTGTATCTCTCTCTCTCTCTCTTCATGTTAGGTGTGTTTGTATATTCATGTATCGTTTTGTTTGGCTACTGAGTTTTCTTTTTTCCTGCTGATACATATATATATATACACATATATATATATATACACATCTATCTATCTATCTACCTATCTATATATCTATCTATATATATATATCTGTATATACATATTGTTTTTTACTATGCACCGCCAGGGCATCCCAGGCCTTCATGCAGAGCTGTGCTCAGGAGAAGCAGGAGGAGGAGGAGCGAAAGCTGCTTGGCCCGTTCAGGGTTTAGGGTTTGGGGATTGGGGGTTTAGGGTTTAGGGTTTGGGGATTGGGGGGTTTAGGGTTTTAAGGTTGTAGGGTTGTAGGGTTGTAGGGTTGTAGGGTTGTAGGGTTGTAGGGTTGTAGGGTTGTAGGGTTGTAGGGTTGTATGTAGGGTTGTAGGGTTGTAGGGTTGTAGGGTTGTAGGGTTGTAGGGTTGTAGGGTTGTAGGGTTTAGGGTTTAGGGTTCCGAGGTTTTTGGAAGGTGATCACACAGTCATGGCCCTATCGAAAGCCTGTATCACGGTGTCCCTGATGACTCTGGTTTAAGGTACCACGAAGGACCCATAATTTAGGTCGGCCCCCCCATGTCAGCATGTGACTCAGGAAGGCCAAGAAGCGCACAAAGGAAAAGGAGGAAGCAAAGAAGAAAAAGGAAGAAAAGTACCTCGGATGAGGGTTCCTTTACCCAAACAGACAACAGTAACCCCAACAGCTGCAGCAGCAGCAGCAACAGCAGCAGCAGCAGCAGCAGCAGCAGCAGCAGCAGCAGCAGCAGCAGCAGCACCAGCAGCAGCAGCAGCAGCAGCAGCAGCAGCAGCAGCAGCAGCAGCAGCAGCAACAAAATCAACAAAGAAGCCCAAGGTGGTATCCCCTCGTCGATGATGGCAGTGTTACCAGCCACATTATACCGTTATCTGAGACCTAATGCAGTTCGTGAGCTTGCAGGGTGTGTGTGTAAGCGTGCTGCAGGTTCAGGGTTAAGGGTTCCAAGCCACCAGTGGAAGAAGTATGCAAGTTTTTCGGTGAGGTTCGAAGGGGGTGCTGCTTTGATCGCTGGAATTCCTGCCATCCGGAGTTCAGTTCCTGTGGGGTTATAGCCGCATTAGTGGCTCAAAGATGTATGATGCATGGTAGCAGATTCGAAGCAAGGCAAGCCAAGAAGGACAAGAAGGATCAGGAAGAATTGGAAAGGCTCCGGCGCTGTTTCTATATGATTGAACGATGATACCATGAACCCAGCCGTACACGCTGAAGCCTAGTGCTTCTTAGATTCGTCACATGCCCTGGCTCGCAGGCTACAGTACCCAGCACCTCGAAAATCTTGCCATCTCCACACATATCAGACTCTAAGACATGGTGAGTGACACAATGAGCATGCCCCTATTGCCAGGCGAAACAAGATTGCAGAAGCGGCGGCGGCGCGACGTGAAAGAGGAATGGGATCAGGCAGAGTCGGCCATATGGCATCTAGTGCCTGTGCCTGGACGTCAAACCTTACTTTGCATGAACAAGGAGATGGGTATTTCCGAACTTTGCATGTGCCACAAATATGGATACTCCTCTTAGTAGAATCTCCTTCAAGGGATGTGAGGTAAACCCTTTTAGGGTTCATTTGGTGACTTCTCTAAATCATGGCCCCTTTTGCGGGGTACTGTTCTAAGGCGGCCCCTATGAATTTTAGGCTACCCAAAAAAGGACAACCGTAAACCCTAAACCCTAAACCCCTAAACCCTAAACCCTAAACCCTATACAGGTGCCTTGCAAGGAATAGTTCGACTGGTCAGGCAAAGTAAGCGATGCGGAGGCTGAGCTGGCAAAGCTGATTCAGCAGGCTCGCCCCGGGGAGTGTGAGGGTTGAGCTTCTTTGTCATAGTTGGCGAACATTTTACACTTTAAAGGGGTACTTAAACCCAATAAGGAATAGAACTTTGAGTTTTTACTCTTATCCGAGCCATGAACTAGGCTTGAGCAAGGCAGTTCATTGCCCTCGGGTGTACGGTTTAGGGTTGCGAAGAATCCTGGCTTTCGGCGCCTCACAACATTCACCTGCCAACCTTCACACATCCCATGGGGCCATCCCCTAACCCTAAACCCTAACTCTGGGTCAGGCTAAACAAGGCGTGGTAGAGCCACCAAAGGCCGGCCCTTGGGAATTGGGGGGGGGAGAGGTGGAAGTTTGCTTGTTGGAGACTTCTTGGTTGTCTTTCTGAGGATCCCTTTTGTGTTGCCACAAGTCGTCCAGTTTGGGATTTAGGTTTTTAGGGTGTCGGGCTTCCTCTAGCTTGCGCGGCCTCAGGCTCACTAGGTGCTGTGGGAGAAGAGCACGGTCGCCGAAAGCTTGTATGTCTGCTTTGCAGGCAGACCCTCCGCCCACAAGCAAACCTGATATGATCGAGAATGGCATCATCGTCCTGGACGAGGATGAGTAGACCAGGCCTGCTCCTCTTCTTTTCAGGCATCGATGTCACGAGACAGTTTGTAAGTTTTCTGGAAGATTCAGGGTATGTCCTACAAGTCATTGAGAAAGTGGGAAAGATGCACGGGGTCCATGGCTTCGAGTAGCTTTTTTTGGAGCATCGATGGTGGCCCATCCCTCTGCCTGGGAGCATCAGAGATGGGGACCGGGGATTCTCTGTGCTGGAGACTGTGCAGACTGCTGCATTGCGGCAGGCTGCTGGTGACAGAAATCCGCACATGAGCCCGTCACTCTCTGCCATCCATGCCTGGCTTTCACTCGACTTCTCGAGCAAAGACTACAACATCTGCAGAATCTATATCCTATCTTCTGCCACGATGTCCCTAACCCTAAACCCCAAACCCTAAACCCCAAACCCTAAACCCCAAACCCTAAACCCTAAACCCCAAACCCTAAACCCCAAACCCTAAACCCTAAACCCTAAACCCGACCACAAAGCCACTTCCAGGAGAGCCTGAGCCCCCCAACTCCTGGCGCTGCAGGCTTCACGTCCTTCTCCCCGACGTGCTCTTGCGATGGTTTCACCTAGCCAGGGCCGGGGGTCGGTTTAGGGTTTAGGGTTTAGGGTTTCGGGTTTAGGGTTTAGGGTTTAGGGTTAGGGTTTATATAGGGTTTGGGGTTTAGGGCTTCAAACCCTGCCATCTGGGATGTTGGACATGCTATGGGCCGCCTTGCGGCCGCAATTGACAGAGCTTCTCATTCAATCCACCTTCTTGGCGTACTATGGCCTACTCACCCCATACTATAGCCTTAAATCATGGGGGGGCGGAGGCTTTCGGGAGTGACGAGAATCCGCGGCAGAAAGGCCGCCCAAGACCAAAGACTTTCGAGAGGGCCGTGCATTGCGCGCGCAGAAAAAGCCACGCTGATGACCATGTGCTGTGCAATGTGGACTGGATGAGGCATGGGAAGATTTCGGGTGTGTGTTTCAGGGCCGAGAACCATGGGTGCAGAAAATGCTTTGCGAAGCCAGCTCTTACAGTCAGAGGCGGGGGTATCTTCCTGCAGGTGGAGCTTTACACGCACAACGATGTGATGACAAAGATCACCCAACAACTCACCAAGGCCTCCCAAAGGATTTGGGGATGTTTCGGGTTTAGGGCAAACAAAGTTGCGGGATCTTTAGTTCCTCGCACCTTTCAAGCGTGCTGCGCATTGAGGCGGAACTCTGCTATGCTCTGCCTAGATGAACTGACATTCAATGCAAGGCCCCTTGAGCTCCCTTGCAACTCTGGAGCTCACGGCTTGCAATTTCTTGCAGATACAGAAGTGCCAGAGTAGCGGAGAAAGCGGGCCCTCTCAGGCCGAAACTGCAAAAATGGTACTTGATAGCTCAGCCCAGCAGATTGCCAGGCGTTGGACTTGCGGCTGGTGGCCGTGCACCTCGTTGCCTGGGCCTGAAGATGAACCCCTAGAGCAAGTTGTGAGTCGAATTTTCGCTGCGCCTGCGCTCCTTGTCTGATGATGCATGGGGCCTGGCAGCAGACACTAAGACATGGTAGTTGGGACCTGCACATGATTGCAGGATTCGACGCTCTGCGTGGACGTCTACCGCTACATTTCAGCCGTGATGCTGCCTGGGCCCCACAAGCGGCTGACACCATGAGTTCAGGTTCGAAGCTACGGTACCCTCCCTAAGGCACCGCCATTTAAATTTTCGTATGCCGCTCGAAGCTCAGCCCTACTCCTTAGGTCTTTGTCCGCCATGATGCAGCTGGAGCTTCCTCACATCAACGTGCTGTCCAAGATTGATATGGTCATGGACGGGGGCCTGGGTGTGTTAGTCTCGGAGGCAGCAGCTCGATATCGCTCCCATGTATTGTGGTTTAGGACTATACGGCTCTTTCACGACTAGCTCTGACAACTGCGGTGCGAGTGAGTTTCGGAATCGAATCCACTCACCTCACGGCATACTAAACTCCTAAGTCCCAAACCCGTCAACCCCAAACCCTGCCCCCTAAACCCTAAACCCTAAACCCTAAACCCTAAACCCTAAACCCTAAACCCTAACCCTAAACCCTAAACCCTAAACCCCAAACCTGCCACGCATCCCCAGTGGCCTCTGAGGACCACACCGATGACTTGACCTTTGGCCTGGACTATTATGCAGGCTCCGGCTTGACCTATGTAGTTGTTTAGGGTTTAGGGTTTAGGGTTTAGGGTTTAGGGTTTAGGGTTTAGGGTTTAGGGTTTAGGGTTTAGGGTTTAGGGTTTAGGGTTTAGGGCCCAATGAAGGACAAGGATGGACTCCTGCATGTTCGGACTCTGCAAGCGCATCACCCTCGTGTCTGCAAGGTGTCTCAGATCTTTCGCAGCTGTTGTGGACGCTTCAGACGAACAAGCGTCTCTGGCTCAATAGGGCTTAGGGTTTCGGGTGTAGGGTGTGGGGCTGAGGGCTCGGGAGTAGTACCTTAAATGGGGCGGATACCTGGCTGCTGAGCACTTGAATGGCGACTCTGCCCTATACCTAAAATACCCTACACCCTTTCAGGCATAAAATACCCTAAAATATCCGAAAATACCCGAAAATACCCTAAACCCTTTGAGGCATCCCCTCAGTGTGAAGTTCAAGGACTTTAACAGGCCGGGCTGTTGCCATGGCATTGGCTTTGGGCAGTTTGGCAGCTGAAGATCGCAGCACCTGCAGTTCCACTTTTTTTTGTTGGGGGGGGGGGGGGGGGGGGGGGGGGGGGGGGGTTGGGGGTGATGCATGCATGGCTGGGCAAAAAGCGTGTTGGCTGGTCTGGTTGCTCGTAGCTGGCTCTCTTGGGGAGAGTAGCACGTTGTCTCCCATCTCGAGTTGAATCTGAACCCCCTATCCTGGCATAATGCGAACATGAGCCGGCAGAACAGAACCTGCATTCCGACAGGCTGCTGGCAGAGCTTATCGAGGACTACGGCACGCAACTCAGCTCCCTAAGCCCTAAACCCTCAACCCTAATCCGTAACCCTAAACCCTAAACCCTTAAATCCTACAAGAATACAAACTTCTGCGTGTTGCGCCTTGCTCCTGGTGTGATATGGGTGCAGATCGGCTTCGGGCTTGCAAGCCGAAGGGTGTGTGGAACTTTGGGTATCAGTATATCATAGCGTCATGCTATCACAACATCATAGCATCACAATATTATAAGATTCATCTGCATTGAGTATACCCCAATGTTGCTAGAGGTGGGCCAGAATCAGTGAGTTGCACGATGTAAGCAGAGTTGAAAGTAGGCCTCGTCAGCTTCGAGCCGCTGGACATCGAGGACAAGGAGTGCGCACTCCGGGTGCCCGTAGCCCAGTCAGGGCAAAGGGTTTAGGGTTCAGGGTTCAGGGTTTAGGGTTTAGGGCCTTTAGGGTTTAGGGTTTAGGGTTTAGGGTTTAGGGTTTAGGGTTTAGGGTTTAGGGTTTAGGGTTTAGGGTTTAGGGTTTAGGGTTTAGGGGGCTCTCCGACTTGGAGAACCGATACCAGGATTCCGACTCTCGATGTTTTCTGCATGTTGCTGATAGCAGCGAGGCTTGACTATATATATATATATATATATATATATATATTTGACACGACCTCAGTCTTGCAAGTCACCTGCCGAAAGCCTGACATCTTGCCGAGGCTCGGTCGATGCGACACGGCGAACGGGCACGTGATGAACGCCGAGAAAGTGCAGGAGTCACCGGGGGGCTGGTCATTCTCGTGGCAAGCACATGGGAGTGCTGCGTGTGCCCGTTCCACCAAGACGAAAGGCTGACAACCCGAAGCCCGAACCCTGAAGCTTCTAGGATTCGGGTTTAGGGTTTAGGCTTTGGGGTTTAGCGTTTAGGGTTTAGGGCTTAGGGCTTAGAGCTTAAGGCCTGGGGGGTCACAGTGTTCAGTTGCCCAGCAGATTCAGGATCCCAGCGATCCTGTGGCCGGAATCCGCATGTTCCAGGCGACGGGGGTTTGCAACCCCATGGTTCTAAGCAGGGAATGGGGGAATTAGGGTTTGGGGTTTAGGGTTTAGGGCTTAGGGTTTAGGGTTTAGGGTTTAGGGTTTAGGGTTTAGGGTTTAGGGTTTAGGGACCCTATATGTTCCCTCAAAGGGTTTGTATAGGGGGATATAGGGTACCTCATTCTCTCATTCCCTACTAAGAACCAGCCAGGGGAAGAGATTGCAGGTTTTGCATAGACAGGGTCTTTGGGTGTTCCTTGCTGAGGCTGGGATCAGCGACGCGGGAGAGTTCCTGGACGAATATCTTGAGCGCTACGAGCAAAGGCTGCAAAAAAAGCGGGGCTTCGCAACTGCAAAGGTGCGCAGAAGGAATATCCCCGCGACATGACATACTTCAACAGCAACTGGGAACTGTTGGGAACCAAAGTGTGTGAGTCAATGGTGGAAGTCGTGTACACCAGCTTGTAGGTTTCAGTTATTAGTATTGGGGCTTGCCTGCAATGCTTGTCACTTCAGTCAGTGCATCGATCCTACTCGTGCTCGCTGCTTGCGTGCATCTATTCGTAGGGCTGTGCTGTGTGTTCGCCATGAGCACGTCTGCAGCTGTCTGGAGTTACTTTGAAGGTTTGCCAGGGACGGTGCTTGAAGATGGTCTTGAACAAGACATCAAACTATCGGCATGGCCTAGCGTTCGGTGCTTGGGCCTCGTCCGTGTAGGCAATGGGGTGAGGTTTGACGGCTTCGGGACTTCGAGGGAACAGACTTCGGGAGGGGCGCGTATGTCAAGCAAACTCAGGCAAATGTGGTGTCAGCCTCGATCTTCGATATCAACTTCCGTACTACGATCCTTACCCTAATACTGCATCGCATGGAGGTTTATGATAAAAGGGGTGCCTTTATGGAGATATATATATATATATTTTGTTTTTTTTAAGTGTCCCTTGCCAGCGTAAGCCCTCACATCAGCCGGCTCAAATCCTTGTTTCCTCTTGGTATGCAGCCATGGCTCCGAAGGATGTGGAGAGTCAGCAGCCGTCGATCCTCAGCCAGGGCCGCACGATCACGCTGGACTTCACCGATGAGCAGCGACGAGTGCTGAACAACACCCTGGCCCTGATCTCGATCATCATCTACTTCTCCGCGACCTCCTTTGTCCCGATCGTGAACAAGGCCATACAGAAGAGTAGGCCCTGCTTCCCTCACTTGTGGGGTTCGGTTCCCCCTTTCATAAGCCCCTTAAATAAGCCCCCCCCCAAAAAAGCGGGGGCACCCTTTGCTTTTGTGCTATTTTTTTAGGTTTATACTCTTATAGGTCCCCTGAATCTTAGTAAGCAGGCCATCCTCACATCAGCGGGCCACAAGTTCCCGTATCCGCTGGCCACCGGCTTCCTGCAGCTCGGCTTCGTGTCCTTCATGCTGACGGCCTTCACCTCGCTGAGGTACCTACGCAAGAAGCGCCGCGGCTGCGAGATCTCTTGGGTCTTCGGCCCTCATCTCGGGTACAAGCTGCGCACCATCGCCCCGCCAGGCATCGCATTCGGCATGAAGTTTGGTGTGACGAACTGGGGCTTGCGGATGATGCCGACTGGCATTCACCTGCTCCTTCAGGCCTCAGATTTGGCTTGGACCCTTATGATCGCCAAGTTTTGCCTGGAAGAGAACCCAGGCCGGCAAGAGATCTTCGCAGCCGTCCTGTCAACTGCCGGAGCTGTCCTTGTCGCGTACCAGGGCACGCAATCGGTAGAGGCACCGCTGATTCCGGTTCTTGTGAACCTCCTGATCCCTTTGATGATGGCGATTGTTGTTGTGTTCTTGCGGCGCACCACCGTCGAGCTGCGCAGGCGAGATAACTGCCTCGGTGGGAGGATCACGCCGGCAGAGATCACTGCGGTCAAGTTGGCTTTCTCCGCCTTTGTGTGCCTCCTGCTCGCCTGCCTGATGGAGAACGGTCACGTGCAGCTTGCGACCGGATCCGTTGAGCCGCAACAGCAACCAGCGTGGTGGGACGCCTTGTGCGCTGGTGGCCTCCCCACTCTGCTGACGGTTCTCTCTGGAGGGTGCGTGGTCACGATTTTCCAGCTCAACCTGACCTGGCTGTCCACGATGGTAAGCGCCTGTACCATCGGCATCATCGGCGGGGCCAAGATTGTTCCACAGTACTTCGTAAACGCTATGGTCACTGGCCAGTTCAAGCTGAACGTTTTGGACGTCAGCGGCGTTGCGCTGGTCTGCTCAGGAGCTTTGCTGTACACAGCAGCACGTGTTGAGGTGAAGTTCCGTGGGTTCAAGGGGTTCAAGGGGTTCCAGGGGTTCAAGAGGGGGCCGACGGGCCCCGTGGAGCAGCGCGAGCCTTTGATTCCGACGCTGCTTACCTCTGACACCAGCCTCGCAAGCATCGCAACCATCGACTTCAAGCGAAACAAGACCCAGATCATCATGGATGATGAGAGTGACAGGAGCGACAGGGAGGCTGAGGAGGAGGAAAGAGAGGTGGCCCCGATGCTCTTGCGCGCAACCACCTTTTGAGCAAGACTCCCCAGCTCTCGCGTGCGCCTGTTCCTCGCCGCGAGCCGTTTCGCATCACTAATTTGCCGACCATCCAGTCATATGTGTTGGGGGTCTTGTGCACTAGTGCAAGCTTGTACAGGTTAACTGCTTCCCGGATAGTAAAGTTAATCAGCCAGGACAGCAATTCTGCACAGGCACCAGTAGCAGAATCCAAGATCCTGCCTTGAGTTAACAATCGCCTTGCACACCAAATAGGATGTTGCACAGTATTCCGCAAAGGATACACGGCTCAGTGTCAGTGTTGGCGGGCGAGAGGCAACGCCTTTGCATGCGCCTTGACGGCTGCAAAAGACAAAGTTGCCGCTGCAGGTGTGGGGTTCCTAGAGTTGGGAGTTGGTGTGCTCTCCTGGCCCTCACTCGAAAATACCCTCAAAGCCCTGAACCCCAAGCCCGAATGGCTGGAGGGGCTCACGCGTGCTCGTGCAAGAGAGGTGTCCGAAAAGGGAGACCAACTTCGCGGCGTCTACGTTAGGCAGTCCCGTCGTCTGCTCCCCACTGTCCTGGCGTTGTCCTTCCTACTCCGCAAAACTGAGACCAAGAAGAACAAAGAGGCAAAGAGCGCAGGACGAAAGAAGGAAAATGGGGGGAATAAGATACCCTTTCGGGAGTATAAATGGTACCTGATTCCCCCAACCTAACCCTAAACCAACAGTAAGATGGGACCGCGTAAACACCCGGCCACGTGCCCTGACGAGAAACAACAAGCTCCCAGAGGGTTTACTGCCACCCTCCTCGGATGCACAAGAGGCGCCATGTTTAGTGAAACCCTACAATGCTTGCCGCACGCGGTCAGTGGCTTTGACGCCAAGCCATGTGGCGCGCAGTCGTTTGGGTCTTTAAGGGAATGCCAACCCGCCAGAGCTATGGTCGTCGCGACATCCGGCAGGGGCGCAGGTCCAGAATGCTCATGGGCTCTAGAAATTAAAGTGAGCCAATGAATCCTGAGCGGGGACTGCCACAACGGCCACATCACTGTCCACGTCCATGTCATCCGCGGCGCCCTCCACTGCCACTCCAGATCCATCGGGGGCTCCCCTCTTCAGGCGACTGGGGAAACATGAGGCAGGCCATGATCGTGAACCCTGCCAGTCTATCCGAGCCTCAAGGGTTGAGAGGGCTTCTTCTGTGCTGTTCCGCTGCCATGCGTTGAGGCGTTGAATCCAGATCCCCTTGCCGAGCAGCCGCGTACTCGTGGTGGGGATTGCTTCACAATGAGGGCTGGCTTTATAAGAAGACGAGTGGATGCCCAACAGGCTCGCCCTTTTAATTGCGTTGGTGAAAAAGATAGGCAGATCGACTAAAACATGATCAATGATGGAGGAAAATGTCGAATTGAGTAGCGACAAACAGCGAAAAAAGTCGAAGTGATCAGCGAGAATGCCGAACTCTCCGGGAGTCCGGGTCGGATCAGGGCGATGGGCGGTGGTTCGTTCAAATCAGGATGTTGATGTCGTGGCTGTTGTCCCATCACCTCACGATACGTTGCGTTCGGGGGGGGGGGGGGGGGGGGGGGGGGGGGGGGGCGGGGCAGGGCGAATCCAAAAATGACCCTGGGACCTCCATCCTGGGGGCTCAGCTGCCTCGAGCTTCTGACCCATGGCGTGCGTGGCCGTATGGCGCTCAGGACCGGGATGACTTGCTGTGCAATCAAGCTGCGGGATGCTGAAGCCTTCTTTTATGCAGCTGGCTTGATACCTCGCCTTTTGAACTCCGAGACTCTTATAAAAACAAAGCCGCGAAGTGCCGAAACTGTCTGGGCATTGACGCAAAACGCACACTCCCACGGAAAATTTCATTGCTGCTGATCCTACTACAGAAGAAGTCTTGTACAAAAATAGCAGCCTTCAGGAATCTTTGCGGGACTCAATTTCAAACTCTGCAGTCTTTGTCGACATAGTCAGCCCTGACGAGCCTGCCTGAATTCTTGCCACGCCATCCCGAAGTGTGAGAATAAAGAATCAAATACTCCGATTCCTAGTAAAAACCCAACTAACTATAATCTCAAAGCCTCGACGCCGATTGTCCATCACCTGCCCCCGTGCGAGAGGTTCGGCGTTTCTAGCTGGCCCTTGCTGTGGTGTTACGAAAAATCCCCCGGGAGCTTGCCCCTCCCCTGCCGAAACAGCACGACGACACGAGCTAGTGCTTGCAAGGCTTTGGGATTCTTCTGTCTTTACGAGACATGCGTGGAAAAACACGATGACGCACACGAGTTCTTCTTCGTGTTTTACGAGACCGCGCGAAAACACGATGCGCTTGCCAGTCCCTTTTGTCCAAAAAAAACGAAACGGGCCAAGCGAATCCAAAATGCGGTGTTTGTTAATGTATCGAGCCCAGTCAGCTAGCAGGGTCAGGTTTCCAGCTGGATCCGCGAAAGGGCGCCTTGATGCTGATTGGCGACGAGTGCGAGTGTTTGTGTGGGACGCTTGACAGCGTGAGCACTCCAAGCCATTGCAGGCCGGATACCTTGAGGTTCGTTTCGGGCCGATGCAGAACGGATACCTTCAGGTTATCCCCACGCCTAACTAATGTATAACGGGGGGGGGTGTACTTAGGGGGAAAATTGGGCCACCAAGGCAAAAATGTATAACGGGGGGGTCGGTATAGAGAGGTCTGAGGTGCCGACATTGCATGGATTCAAGCTGTGACATTGCCCGGCCGAATTCATGTTACTCCGGGAGGTACATGCCTAGCTTGGTGGGTAGATACGGGCAACACGAGCAGACAGTCTCATTGGATCTCAGCTCCAGGCTCCAGGCCTTGGTCTCTTGAGGTACATCCCCAACATTGTAGTAGGGAGGCGGGGAATGTATGGGCGGGGGGGGTCCGTCGTACATTCTGCGGCTCCCGATGCAGCTCCATGAATTGTAGGAGGCAGCCCCTGGATTTCTAGCAAATTACGGAATGTATAGGTGGGGGGTGGGGAGCTTACATTTCTCCGGGCCTTAAGATCCCCGCAGCAGGCCTCGTCCCCAAGAAACTTCTTATAGAGATTCGCATTTTCGGAAGACTGCTTTGCCACCAACTCTTTTGCCAACTCAGGCATCGTAGTTCCGTTATTGGCCCATGGGGGGATCGGCTTTTTCTGTGATTACAAGCGACCGAAGAGCCCAAAGGCAAAAATCGATCACATGTCCTTAGGGTCCGTTATGCACCTCGCCTGGCCTGTTAAACCCAGGAAATTAATGCATAACGGGGGGGTGGGGGGGGCGTCGTAAGTAGGAGTTAGGCGTAGAAATTTCAGGTTCTTCTCTGGCCGATACGGGCCAGATACCTTGAGAATCCTTTTGGGCCGATACAGACCGCATGATTTGAGGTTTCGGGCGGATACAGTTGATACCTGGAGGTTCGTTTCGGCCCGATACAGGCGGCATAAGCTCAGGCCGATACGAATCGGATACCTTGATGTTCCATTCGGGCAGACAATCGTCGGACAGAGTTGGGTCACCGATGGGGTGGACTACAAGTACTTGAGACTTATTTCTTTCGTAAATCCAATGCCCCTGAAAACGAATTCAACTGCATCGGCATTCTTGGACAGTGGACAGAAGAAGAAAAATGAACACGACGCGCTTGCAACGCACAACACGCCACTTGAAGGATGAACACGCCGATATAGCACAGTGGCACGCACCTCGCGCCACTGGAAGGATGAACACGCCGATTTGGGAACAGTACGGACGCGCAACTTGAGATGTGAGAACAGAACAGTGACATGCACGAAGGATGAACACGCCGATGGGGGAAAAACAACACAGTGACACGCACAGAACACCACGCAAACCAAGAAGTTTTGGTAGGGCTGCACGAAGCATGTGTCATGCAACAGCATGAGTCATGCTGCATGAACCACGCCGTATGCATTTACACGACACGCGCTTGCAACAGCATCCCACAAAACAAACCGTCAACTCACTTGACAAACACAAACAACTTTGTTATAGGGTTGGGCGCTGCATAGGCGGACTAACGTGCATGCAGCCAGCAGGAGGCGTGTTTTCATGCAACAACATGCAAGCAAGAACACAACACGCGAATGTAACAGCAGCATCAACCACCCACAACAATTAGTCAACGAACACACGCACACACACACACACACACACACACACACACACACACGCACATACACAAACACACAGAAGATCTGTTAAGGATTCAGGACTTGCAATGCGCATGCAAACGCACAAAGCGTGTCACTTGCACACGCGAGTCGCGTACGGGCGCGCACACACGCCTACACACGTGAGTGGTATCTTGTACCCACAAGCCGCATTCGCGTCTCCGCTCACAATTGTACACGCGAGCTGCACAGGTTCCCACACGCGAATGCGCGCGCTCCCGCGTATGCAGCCGAACTGCATACGCGTGTGCAATGGTGTGCACACGCACTGCGCACACGAGCTGCTGTGCAGTGCGCACACCTGCCTATGCACACCAGCTGGGTATGGGTGTGCGTGCATTCCTGCACAAAAACTGCGCAGGGGAAAGAAAACACGACAAAGCGCCACTTAATGTCTCAACATTCCTGACCTCCTTGCTGATTCCTCCCTGCTCCCGCCCCTCGCTAGCCGCATGCCGTGACTTGGTTGCCGTGACTTGATTGCTTGTTCCTTGGCTGCGGCACCATTACACAGGGACCGTGTGGACAGGAGGAAAACAGCAGTCTTCCACCGAGACCGTGCTGCCTCTCAGCAGCACGGCACGCAGCCGCCTGCCTCCGCGAGCAGGGCTACGCCGCTCCCGCGTGGGATGCGCTGCTGCAGGCGCGGCCAGGGCAGGAAGAACGCGAGTTTTGGAAATTTTTGCGAGGCTAGCAGTATCGTGCTGCCCTCGCCAGTGACGAGCGCGCGCTTGATTTGCATCTTTCTCACACTGATGCCGGGCGACACGCTGCGCGCGCCTTCACGGTCTCCCCTACCTCAGCAGAGTTAACGGTGCCATCACCACTTTTCCGC